GTTTATGGCTGAAACTTTTGTTTGACTCAGAGGACTTTTCACTTTCAGGTCTTCAACTATATTGATTATTTTCTACGAGTGAGGTTGCTGGAGACCTTACTATTTAATAAGAGCACTTAATTATTTTCCCTCCAATACACTTATTTCTCTCTTACCTCTATCAGTCAGCACTGGTTTCACCACCAGAATAAAATTTTATTCTTCTCCACAAGTGAAAAATTCAGTACTGCAATAAAGAATTGGGTTGAGGGTAAGTCTGTATCAGAAACAAGAAATGTGGGTGAATAGTTGGGAACATGAGATCTTAATTTTCAAATGCCAAATCTTCATGATTGAATTCATGTTATACATTTTTAGCAATGTCTCTTGATATCTAAGTCATTTCAGCCAGGCGTGGTGGCACACCCCTGTGATCCCAGCACTCAGGAGGCTGAGCCAGGAGGATCATTGCAAGTTAGAAACCAGCCTGGGCTACAAAGTGAGCTCAAGGCCAGCCTGAACTGCATAGCCAGACCATCTCCAAAAGACAAAAAAAAAAAAAAAAAAAATTTTGTATCCACTGAAGAGCAAATGTGGATACACAGTGTTTATGTTTCTCCAATTTTTGTGTAAATTTGGTTGTCTAATGAAGGTATTTTTATACTGCTTAGTTGATATTTTTTCTATTGCTACTAACAAGCAATGAGGGGGGTGATTTCCAATGCAAATGTCTTATTCCTCATTAATGTTTGTACCTTCAATTTGCATCTGTTAATAAGTTTTGCCCCAGCCAGTCTTTACTGTGATGATCACAGAACAGTGATTTTTTTTTTCTCCAACTCTAACACTCCTTCTTCATGTATTAATTGTCACTTGGTATTCTGCTTTTAGCAAGACCACCCCCTTATCCCCTATTTCTTTCTTTGTGAAAATCTATTTTTGCTATGGATTCCTACATTCTTAGATGCTTCAGTGATTTATAATTTATTATCTTTTACTGTGTTGAATCTCAAACTGTCATATTTGACCACTCCTAGCTTCTTTGGGCTAGCTGTTATATTTATTTACTTATGAACACAATGGTAGAACAGTTATATGCCCATGTAGACACTAACTTGAACTGTAGTTGGTGAAGGAAGGATGAGTGAGACTTCTGGAGAAATGCCCCTTGGGTGGTTGGTGTCATCTGGGCCTGCACATTGCTTTCTCATGCAGCCTGTTACTGACCAGGAGGGCTCCTCGACCACATCTGGGGATGGAGAGCCACCCTTAGAGGCCTCAGCCTTTCCAGTGTGGTCATGTGTTGGTGGTTACTAAGCTGCCTTTAAGCAAACTCAGTGCAGGGGACTCGAATCTGCAGGGTGCACACCTGGTCATGTGACATAACGTGCACTTTGCTTTTACTTCCATTACATTAGTAGTCCAGTGGGGCTAGAGTGTGTGCTTCAGTGGTGGCTCCCTTGCCTAACATGTGCCAGGCCTGGGTTCCATCCCTGGCACCAGAACGGGCAGGGAGAAACCCAGTGACCTCTTCATGCCAGTAATATTCCTAAAATTTTGTTAACATTTTAAGTCCATATTGCCTGTTAGCCAGATGCATATCCTATATAGTGTTCTTCAAAATGTTGGTCATACTTGTTCATAATTCCTAATAATTAGAGTAATGCCACTGTAAGCTACTATTTGTGTGTATTTTGAGAAAGACAATAAACATGGCCTTTCAGTTGAATTCGTGACTTTGAAATATGGATATGTTTCATCCCTGTGAGCTGGGGGTGTCACTGAGTGATACACTGGTTGTCTGGCACACCTGCAACCCTGAGTTCAATTTCCAGCACCACAAAAAATGTTTTAAATAATCAATTCCTTTAGTATTGCCTCTCCACAGTATAACTTATTCAGACTGAGTCACGTCACTGTAATTGCTGTGAATTTCTTCCCAAAATGTTGGTTCCAAACTTGAAGGGGAGAAAGGGAAGGACTGGTGCAGCGCACGGTGGCGTGGCTTCCTGTTGGGGCACGCACTTAGTTCTGCTCCATTTGAATCTGGGCTGTGCTTTCTCAACTCCACCCTTGAATGTTTTCAGGGTTTTTCTTCTCAAATGTAATTTATAGAAAAAGTAGAGTACAGGACTAAGTAAAGCAGTAGGTGCAACATGAAGTAACACTTGCTCAATTTAAGATTAAACTTCTGCAGATTGAGCAGAAACATAGTTTTCATATTTTGTCTCAAGATAGGCTTTGGCAACTTGCGTAATCGCAGCCAAGATGTGTTTTGATCCTTTTTATGACTGAGGACTCAGTGGCTGCTGCTATGGGGCCGCCTTTGGAATTCCGCGAACAGTGAGGGACAAGAATAACAAGGTCAAGGGTTCCTTTCCTGCTGCAGTGAATGGGCTGTTTCACGGAGCCTTGGCCTGCGGCGGCAGAAACCCCAGGAGGAGCGTGCAGTGGGAGGGTGGTGTGCAGTGGGCTGGCCTGCAGAGGCCAGAGCACCGAGTTTAACATGTCCACATCCACAGGCGCGTCCACCCCAGCACACTGACGCTTCTTACACCTCACTCACTGTGGGGTTGTGGAAGCGAAGTTCTGAAAGGAAACATAGTATGAGAAACAAATGTGATTGCCTTGCTTCTGGCCTGAATTGCTCTGATGATTTAAGCCCAATTCGTTTTAAAAAATTTTTTTCCAAGTAAATCTGATTTGCCAAGTATAGAGTGCTTAATTTTCAAAGAATTGAAGTAGGTTTTGCTTTCCATCTCCAACAAAGAATTGTTTAGGGGTTAAAATACATATAGTAGTAATTCACAATATTTTGGTATCTGAAATGACTAAATGATAACCACATGACATAATTAATGTAGTTATATTCTTAGCCATGTGAAGACTTCTTTGGTGAAGAATTCCTGTTTGTTTGTGTGTTTGTTTGACTGGCGATTGAACCCAGGGCCTTCACACTGAGCCACATCCCCAGTCTCTTTTTATTTCAAGATAGGGTCTTGTAAGTTGCCCAGGCAAGACTCAGACTTGGGATCCTCTTGCCTTAGCTTCCAAACATGCTGGAATTACAGATGTGTGCTGCCAGGCTCAGCTTGTATTGTTTAGTTTTGTTTCATACTGAGTTTTGGGTCAACATTCTTAAGGATGTAGCATGGATTTGGTGGGTGAGGCCTTAAGGAGTAGGGGATGGCTCTGCTCTGGCTCTCACTGGTCTAGCAGGCTGTCCTGTTAGAGCTTAGGCTGTAGGACGTTTCACAATACCTCACCATGTTACGTACCTACAGGGGATTTTCTGTCCCCGTTCCCCAGAGCATGTAGGCACACCATTCATGGGTACTTCAGCTTGTCACCAGTAGCCACTTTATCAGAGACACCAGGGGGAAAACAGGGGAGTGACCCAGTTCATTTGCATTTGGAAACATCCCTGCGACCTGTAAAGATGACGCAGAAGAGGACACACCAGCAGTCCACAGAGATGAGACAGGTTTGACCCAGGTGTGGAGTCCATGGGGGTAGAAAAAGAGGACCTCCTAAGAGGCTCAGCTGGCAGAGTTTGTGTGTGGAGCAGAGAGACCCCACCCTATCTCTGGTGAACAGACACCACATGTCATTCCCACACGTCTCCTTCCTGGGCAGCAAGGGAGACAGAGCCTAGAAAAGGCCAGTACCGTCATTGCCCAAGGAAGCAGGGTGAGTAAGGGGCATGTCCCGCCCTAGAGCAGCCCACACAGTGACACCCCGTGCACTGCAAATGAGCCTTGTCATGATTGTGACACATAGAGAGGTTCCTCCCATCTGTGTGCCTGGCCAGCAGCCACAAGCTGGGATTAGAGGATATGGGCAGCCAATGAGGTCACTTGTACACGTGCCAGATGTGAGGTGTCTAACGAGGTGGATGTGTTGATGAAGGTTGGCTTTCTGAGCAGGAAGGTGAGGGAAAGGGCCTAGGACAGGCCATGCAATGTGACAGCTGAGGACATCTGCACTGTATTCTTTCTCTTTCCCCATACTATACACGTCTTTCATTTTTGTTTTTGGAAACAGGATCTCTCCATGTAGTTCAGACTGGCCTCACTGCAGTGCTCCTGCTTCAGCTTCATAAGTTCTGGGATGCCATTTGCCAGTCTTACTGTTCATCCTTCCTTTCTGCTCACCAGAATTCTTTTTTCTCTGGCCACTGCCGGCGGGGTGAGCCACTGGCACCCTCTGGTGTTGCTTGGTATGAGTGGTTCCAAATGATTCTCTCTATTTCCCTCGTCTAGGGCTGGGGATGTAGCTCAGTGGTACAGCACCTGCCTGGCAAGCGTGAGGTCGTGAGTTTGATTCCCAGTACCAGAAAACAAACAAAAAAAATTATATATATTTCCCTCGTCTCTTAGACACCTATCCCTTTCTCAGAGAAAAGTGTGCCACCAACCTCAAAGAGATGAGCTTTATACCCAAATGGTCTTACTACCACTTTCTGACATGAGGCTGCTTTGTCCTGGAATATTCTCTTCTGTCTCATATGACTGACTGCCCCATTTCAGAGAAGTGATGTCACCCCAGAAAATCCAAGGCAGAGCGCCACCCTTGCTGCAGTTTTCCTTGGTATTGATGTGTTCCAGAGCACTTCAAGAACTAAAATAAGAAAAAATGGCCACTTTCTCTTCTAATTGGCAAATAATCAGCTTACTCTAGGGATTAGATAAAAATAAATCATTTGTTCCTGTAGTTAGTTACTGTGATGACTGGGGAATCTTTGGTAAGAATATTTCAGAATTAAATCAGATACATAGAACCTGACTTAGGGAGCAAAGAAAGAGAAAGAACAATGAGTGTGAACACAGGATGGGCGTTGTTGGGGTTGTGGAGTAAGTTTACTCTCAGCTGTTGCCTCTGGAACCTGTCCGCAGGGACCCAGTGCCATTCCTGGTGTCTCAGGGCAGCGGTGTCCTGCCTTTCCTTCCACCATTTGCTTCCGTTCCTATCTTTGCAAACCGTCGCTATGACTTCCCTAACATGTCTGATTTTGCCCACAGGCCATGTCCTCATAGAGATTTCGAGCACCCACAAGAAACTCAATGAGAGCCTTGAAGAAAATGTATGTGGATTGTTTTTATATTTGCAAAATGTTTTTATTTTTAAAATTTTGCCAAAACCTCAAACCTGGTATAAATTTTTACTTTCTCTTATGAACAGTTCAAAAAATTCCATAAGGAGATCATCCATGAGCTGGAGAAGAAAACAGAGCTTGACATAAAATATATGAATGTGAGTGTGCGGTTGCCCTCCACCCTGCCCTGTGAATCAGACTTCTGAGCTGGAAGAGAACTTTCTCCACTCTCGTCCACAAAAGCAATGAGGGTGGAATATGGTATTGATACAGACTTGGATGTGTGAAAACGAGGTCCTTTTGGGCTGAGTGGGCCTGTTTTTACTACCACTTGGGGTCCACGTGAATAGGCAGAGAAATAAATGTTGCAGAAAAACATGCCACTTCTGAGAGCACTGTTTTCAGAGCGCATGGCTGTGTGGCAGGACATCTGTGTCCATGTTCTGCAGCTGGTGCTTTCTCAAGCCAGCACTTCAGGACTCGAGTTGCACATGCGAGAACTAGGGACCTCTTGCCCACCAGCCACCCCCACCATCCTGCAGTTCTCTAGCTCTGTCTACATCTGGCCCTCCAGCGAGGTACCCGGTTCTTTCCATCTTCCTCTTCTGCTATAGAATGCTTACTTTCACTGGCCACCCAAAGTGCCCTTTCTTACCAGGACCCTTCCCATAGCAGGGAGCAGTAGGATTCCCCTGGAAGCCGCCCGTCATCCTCACGAGGCCCGCTCCCCAGGTGCTATGCATATGTGCTGTGCACACTACCTGATTTTTAATCCCTACTGGAACCCCATGATGTAGATACCTTTATTATCCTCATTTTACAGATTAGAGGGAAAGCATGAATTTTAGAGAAGCGAAGTAAGTGCTGAGATCACACAAGTAGTGGGAACTGTAACCCAGGTCTGTTTGTCTCCAGATGCTGTGTTTTTAAACATTCTGCTATATACCAAGAAACACTCCCCTCTAAAATGCAAGCAGTTGCTCTTGTTCATGCCTTCTTTTGAAATTTAAGTTATAAAACAACCAGAAAGGTGATTTAATGTTGTTTATATATTCATCGAAACAGTTATTAGCCAGTGTCCAAAAACAATTGAACAAAAAAGAGAAGACACTGCTGTCCTCAGAGAGCTGCCCTTGCAGTCCAGGGCCTCCGGCATGAACAGGGAACTTTAGCACCAACAGCTGTGCCATGCCCAAGTTGAATGGAGGGGGTGTGAGGTGTGAGTGTGAGGGCCCCCCGCAGGACAGGGCTGTGTGGAGAGTAAGGGTGTGAGGGCCACAGTCCCACACAACGTGGAAGTGTGAGTGGAAGCAACTGCAGCAGCATGGACAGTGCTGCAGTAAAATAAGCACAACACTGAATTTACAGGCAACTCTTAAAAGATACCAAGCAGAACACAGGAGCAAATTAGATTCTTTGGAGAAATCTCAAGCCGAATTGAAGAAGATCAGAAGGAAAAGTCAAGGAGGACGAAATGCACTAAAATATGAACACAAAGAAACTGAGGTGAACTTTTTGGCAATATCTCCTTTTGTTGTTGGTCATTGTCTGTACGATTTAGTAAGAAGCTTACCTCCCTCAGTCAGCCTCTACTTTACCCACTTGCTGTCGTACTGGTGCTGAAGGTAAAAGTAAGCACTCTGACTCGGGAAGGGCAGAAGGCCGCAGAGTGTTCTGCAGTTGAGACAACTGGTCTGTGGTCTCCTAAAAACCTTGCTTGGCCTTTCCCTCTGGCTCAGGGAGAAGGAGGCACCATGACTAGGGTTGCTGTCCCCATTTTATTCACAGTGGGAAAAAGGACGCTTAGATTACATCCTGTGTTTGGCATTTGGAGCAGGCATTTGAACCTGGTACTGTCTGGTTCCAAAATCCACCGTAATGTCCAGTAGAACAGGATCATCCCTAGGGATGTTCTAGGGATGCCAGTTGCCCTAAATGTAAAGCCTGTGGCAACTTCTGTCCGTGGGTGAGTCAGGGATCTTAATGATGACGATGATATCTGCTCAGCTCAGGTTACAACTTTGTCTAATGTTTATCTCTATTTACTGTTTACTTTGTTATCAGCATAAGCCAAGTATAAAGGTGGCAGAAGATAAATGTCAGGCTATACAGCTATCTAATGCCGCATGTCAGATTTGTATCTGTGTTATTTTCCTAGTACGTAGAGACTGTTACTTCTCGCCAAAGTGAAATCCAGAAATTCATTGCAGACGGTTGCAAAGAAGCTCTGCTTGAAGAGAAAAGACGCTTCTGCTTTCTCGTGGACAAACACTGTAGCTTTGCAAATCACATACACCATTATCACTTACAGGTGAGTGCAACAGCATCCGTATTTTGAATCCCTTATAAAACAACACTCAGTAATTGAAATGGTACCTTTTTCCTTTTCTCACCTAAGTCAGTTTTCTGCAGACTGATTTGCTTTGGCATCAGTGTCTTTAACGGGGCCAGCTCCTGGGTGTTCTATGTGCATCTGGAGGGCGACAGGGATGTCACTGGCAGCTCTGCCACAAGCCACAGCCCACACCCCCAACAGGACATTGAGTCCTCTGCTTTTCAAGTTGTTCATTCATGCCCCGCTCAGCTGAATGCCTGGCTTAGTTCCCTCCTTCAGACACAGGCAGCTGTGAGCTTAGAACCCAAGAGCTATGATGCAACAATGTTACCTTCCCCTTTTAAAAAATTTATGGATTCTCCTGGGTCTGTATAAGAATCTAAAGCCAGCACTAATCAAGGCCAAATATTTAGTTTTCCTTCTAATAAAATAATTTGGAGAATCCTCTGCAATATCAGAAGCTTTGCAAGAATTTGAGTTTAAGTCCTCTTTTTCAGGGAGAAAAAAGCCTTGGTCTTGTGTGTATGTATGCATATGTTATATATTCTATATAGCTTTTGCAACTTTAAGGAATATTTAGCTACCTAATCTAAAATACTTAAGATCTAAAACTACTATACGAAAGGAAAAAATTACCGTATTATCATTTTTGTCCACCGTGTGTCTGTACTAGTTAAAGCAGTGTCCAAGTAGCTCTAGAAACTTGCTTCCAGGGTAAGGGCTTCCTTGTGGCAGAATTGTAGCTTCAGAGGTGTGGAAATGACCTTGAAGCTTCCATTCTATTACAATACTCTTCTATATGATGAAGCAACTATGGCTATTTTTAGTTATTGGCGAAGTCTTTCTTACATATAATTTTGGTTCCCAGTTATGCTTTGTAGAATGGTACAAACCAAGTCTGCTTCTTTCTATACTGGAAGTTTCTTCAGCTACCTGAAAGTTGTTTTTGTGGCTTCCTTAATATCTCTAACACATTCTGGTACTTTCTGTGGCTCTTGAATGGAGCAGGCCCAAGCACTTGGTCCACAGTGTGGCAGTGCCCCATTTTTGGGTAAGAGCCAGGGCCAGAGGTGGTCTCAGGGAGGGGCTCTCTCCCCTAGGATTTACATCTGTGGCCCCGGCCATCCATGACAGACCTAGAATTGGGTAAGAATAGTGTGATTGCCTTGCAAGGAGTTTCGGGAAAGGCCCCTCCTTCCCTCTTCCAGCCACGTTGCTTTCCTGGGAAAGTGTTCACTGAAAGGCTTCAGGGCCTGCGAAAGTCCCGTTGCCAGAAGCAGAGCTAGGCCTATGGGAATAGGCGAGCCTCCTCAGCCTCTGGGATTCGGGTCTCTGCTCCGCCCTTCGGTCTGTGCGCTGCAGCCCAGCTGCTCTGCAAAGCCTCGGCCTGTGGTGGGGTGGCCCTGTGCACTCCCCCATGCCGCACTCCCTGCAGTTCCTCAGTCACGTGGGTGGATCTCCTGGGACAGAATCTGATTCACTTGTCTGACTCGTGCCTCAGTTTCTGTGAGGTCAAAGAGTCAGCTCCCGGGCCTCTCACTCTGATGGAGGTACTGCCTTTGGAGGGCGTGGGAGGAAGAGATGGTTGACATTTCTGGGAACACCTGGAAATAGTAGGCTTCATAGAGATTGCCCAATCCTTCTGAACTGGAGGGAAGGGCTGGGCATACCGGGAATCGAATGTAGCACCTCACACGTGCTAGGCAGGTGCTCTTTCACAGAGCCACATGCCCAGTTCCTGGATTGATTCTTAATCATTTATGATCCTTGTACTAGCTGTAAGCTCTGTATTTGCACTGAGGGAGCGGGTAAGTGGCTTCGGTGCGAGAGCCTGCCTTCTCCTCAGCAAATGAGACATGGCAGCTGCTCATGGATGTTTAAACTGCTCGCTGAATGAAACTCTGGCTCTCACCCTTCGATGGTAAGCCAGTAATACGCTCAGTAATACGTTATCATGATAGTATTTGATACACTTTTGTCAGCTCTTCAATGTGCCTTTGTCTTTGTGCTGTTTCTTTTGGATTTATAGTCAGCAGAATTACTTCATTCCAAACTGCCCAGGTGGCAGGAAACCTGTTGTGATGCCACCAAAGTGCCAGAGAAAGTCATGAACATGATAGAAGAAATAAGGACTCCAATCTCTACCCCCGTATCTGGGACACCTCAGCCCTCACCCATGATCGAGAGAAGCAGTATGGTAGGAACCAGTTGCTCTTCTCACTTTCAGTTGTGTGTTTACCAATAGGATTTGGGCTAAATTGAGCCCAAAGGACCAAGGCTGCCTTGGTGGTGGAAGTTACGAGCCTTCTTTTTCTACACTTAGGCCTGCCTTCCTCACCCTTACCCCTTACCTTAGATTGGGAATTAGCTGTGCAAATGTTTGATGCTACTCTTAACGCTAGTATCTTTGTTTTAGAAATTTTATTTTACTGTTTTTAATTGTAATGATTCCAACTTTATACATTTATTTCCAGTGAAGGAAATGGATGTCTTAGAGAATAGACTGGTAAACTCCAGTGTCATTTATCACAATATAAATCACTTCAGGCAAACAGAGTATTCAAGGTGATGAATGAATAAGGCTTTGTAGTTTGCTGTCGTTTGACCCTGGGCTTTATTACTGTTCACAAACATACAGGGGTCTTTGGACCCAGCAGGTAGTTTAGACACATGGATCCATCATACCTGTCCATCTAAAGCCCCCTGAAATGACAGCAAGAATTTAAAGCCAAAGAAGGTGCTGTCAGTGGACCAGAAACACTGTGGAGTCTCTAAGAGAGAGTCAGGATCAGAAACACTGCAGGAGTCTGTGAAGGAGAGAGGCGGGATGGGTGTGTAGCAGATCGGAGGGGGAGGCCCCTCACCCTCAAGCGTGTGGAGTGCAAACCCGGTGCAGAGAGTGGAGCTGCTCCTAGGAGCAGTGAGCTGAGTCACCCGGTGGGGTACAGGTGGGGGAAGAACTGGGCCGTCACTTTATGTAGCCGGTCACTTTCTTCCCCGTGTGCTACATGTGCCAAACAACAAGCAGTAGGGACTGTTGTTCCCAAGCAGAGAAGGATGCGTATGACTGAGGCGCGAGCGTGCTCCCGGAAGCCTGCCCTGCCTCCCCCGTGTCACCACGGGGGTCTGTGCTTGTGAGGGTAGGCCAAATATGGTAAAAGGAGTGGGGACTCGCGCAGAACGAAGAGGGACAGCGGGAGGCATCAGACAGTGAGGCAAGCCCACATCATAGAAACGGCAGCAAAATAAAACCCAGCATGACCAATACTGGAGGCAACGGCAATCTTTATAGAGAGGAAAGGATGTTACATCCACAAAGAAGAATCCACAAGCGCTCTTGGGAATTAAAAAGTGAATTATTGTAGTTGAAATGACATGCATGAAATTTTCTTCAAAGTAATCCAGGCAGAGTTTGGGAAGATGGGTAAAGTTATGCATGAAACAAAATTGACTATGAATTCATCATCCCTGAAGCTAGCTATTGGCTGCGTAAAGATTTATAATGCTGTTGTCCCTACTTTTGTACGTGTTTGAAAGTTTTCTAAAACATAAGTTTTTTTTTTTTATTTCCTCCACCCCTGCCTCCAAATACCATCACCAATAGATGGGCTCTGAGAAGAACATAGCTGCTTGGAAAACTGAGCTGAAGCATTCTCCCAGAACACAGTGCACAATTAGAAAAAGAGTTTAAAAAAAAAAAAAAAAAGGCAGACAGAGTAAACACACATGGTGGGCAGATTGAGACATGGATGGTTTACCCAACTGCCCACTCAGCAGCACCGCCTGGGTGACCAGCCCGGATCTCAAATCCGCCTTGCCCAAAGCAGAGAACTGATTTTCTCACCCTAACCCTGCTTCTCCAGTCCTCTCCGTCCGGTAAACGGCAGCCTCATGCTTCCACTAGCTCAGACACAAAGCATCAACTCCTCTCTTGAACTACAGCATCCCATCAGCCCATCCCCTTTCTGCCTCCAGAGCACACCCCAAGTTCACCTGTGTCCTGCCCCTCCAGCCTTCTAAACACTGTCCTTCTGCAGGTTATTGCACTGGCCTTCTGCCTGGTTGGTTATTTTTGCTTTTTGTATTGTTTTGCTTTTTGAGACAGGATCTCAGTGTGTAATTCAGGTTGTTCTTGAACTCACTCTACAGCCCAAGCTGGCCTCGAACTCATGATCTTTCTGCCTCAGCCTGCTGAATGCTGGGATTACAGGTGCACAGCACCACACCTAGCTTTTCTGCTAGGACTGGAGAAGCAGTCTTAGACACATTGGCCATAGGGATCTAACACCTGCACAATTAGGGCTGAGTTTGAGAATGTTAGGCAGGAAAAAAACCTAAAAACTTTTGGAGAGGGGGGAAAATTTTACTTACAAAGAAAAGTAAATGCCATTGATACCAGATTTCTTTTAGCAAAACAAGATGTTAGAAATTAGTGGAAGAATGGTTTCAAAATTCTGTGGAATAGTTGTCTTCAATGTGGAATCCTATAGCACATTTGCACTTAAGCAGAGCGCTAAAATCAAGAGACAGAAAGCACATTAATGGTTGCCAGAGAAGAGCTGCTTTGCGGGTGGGGAGGGTAAAGGTATGATACCAGCCAGCCCCTTTCATTGCTATGTTACTCTAAAATTAGACTAATAAAGAATTTTTTACAGGGTGGGAAAGATTATGACATCCAATATTCACCAAAGATACCTCCAGCAACATCAGCCAAAGCATATACCAGTCCTTTGGTTGATATGTTCAATAATCCAGCAACAACTGCACAAAATTCAGAAAAGGTTAATAATTCAACAGGTAAGATATCTAGTTTGATGTTTTTGTTTTTGATTTTTGAGATAGGGTCTTGCTATGTAGTCCAGACTGGCCTTGAACTCACAGTGGTCCTCCTGCTTCAGCCTCCCAAGTGCTAGGTTTGCAGGTGTGCACCACCACAGCTGGCTATAGTTTGATTCTCAAAGGTACCCTTTTAAAATTTTTTGAAAAGTCACTTTCAAAGTGAAATAAACATTTTGGATAAATGTAAGGGAGAAATAGACAGGTACGGTAGATGTGTCTAGACCTGGTTTTGAGTAGCTTATACCTCCAAAGGTCTACACTGCAAGACATTTTGACAAGTGAAATATTTCCATGACTCTTACTAGTTCTGTATATAGTAGGTGCTTCCAAAGAGTAAAGCTACTATTGAAAAGTATTATATTTAAAGATAAATACGCCTTGGGTCCGTGACATGTGCTGGTAATCCGAGATTCTTGGGAGGTTGAGGCAGGAGTTCACAAGTTTGAGACCAATCTGGGAAATTTAGCAAAACCCTGTCTCATAATAAAAAGGGCTGAAGATGAGCTCAGTATGAGGCCCTGAATTCAGTGCTCCATACTGAAAAAAAAAAAATTGAAAAATATAAGTAAATAATTAGGATAGAATATACACAGCCTCACACAGTGTTCCATATTTGATGACTATAATAATAAAAAAATTTTTCAGTGAAACAAGCTGTAAAAGTTAATATGGCAAAATTATGGTTATTAATCTTAGCAATAGGCTTAATTTGAAATCTCATCAGCATTTTTCATCATCCCTAACAAGGTACCTCGTGCTTTCTGGAGACATAAATTTCTCAAGTGCTGACTATATTTCAACAAACCAGGACCAGTTACTGTTTGCAGACATTTTCTGCTTCTCTGTTTAGGCCCCACTCTTCCTACACAGTCCTTAGCAACCAGGACCCTCCCAACCTGTGTCATGGCCCCTCACCTGTCTGTGTGGGGTGTCATAGGCCCTTTCAGTATGAATGTGGCTGCTATAAAGTTGTCCACTGGCAAGAGCTCACAGAACATAGCATTTGAAACTGTCAGGCAAAAGATAAGAGATTGCCGTAATGGCAGTGAGGATTGCTTTAGTAAGGGAAAATCATAGCCTGTAGTTACTGCTTTTAATGGAAACATTGAGCTGTATAAGAGATAATGTTAAAGTATATAGTACTCTGTAGCCCAGTCAGTGAAACGACTCCAGTTCTTTTTTAAAAAAGCTAAGTGAGGATTGCTGGTGTGTTCAATAATACTGAGGTCATCAGAGAGTGGCAGGTCAAGGAGACAGCAAAGTTTATATTGCAGTTATTAAGAAATCATACAAATAAAGCTGAACGCGATCTTACATTGCTTTGCATTAAATCTCCATCACAGTTTGTGTTTGCTGAAGTGGGAACTGTCGTGCTGTGGTTGAGCTGAGCGTGACCTGAGCAGCATGGTGCCCACAAGTAGAGACCGTGGCTCGGCTATCCGCAGCATGTGTTTGTTTTTGGTACCAGAAATGGAACTCAGGACCTTGCACTTGCCAAGCAGGTGCTTGTGCCACTGAGCTATATGCCCAGCCCATCAGCTGTCCACACATGGTATCTGGTTTGGCCTCTTACTGGCTTTGTGATCCTGACCAGCCTCAGAACTTTCTCTGGCTCAGTTTCCACATCTGTCAGTGTCAGCAGTGACCATGCCTTCTTCAAGAGACAGTGTGGAAGGACAGCAGAGAGATGGTCGACTGAAGGCTCAGTAGAAGGACCTCATCCCCTCATCCTTTGTGCTTGGGGAGAGAAGCCAGAATGTCCACATTTCCAGTTTGCTCTTTTACCTCATGGCACAGGATGTCAGCACTGGTTTGAGCTGTTGCCTTAGTTACCTCTTTTTTTTTGAGACAAGGTCTTGCTAAGTTGCTAAAGCAGCTCAGGCTAGGCTGGAACTTGGGATCCCCCTGCCTCAGCCTGCCAGAATGCTGGGATTACAGGCAGGTGCTACCATGCCCAGCCGTATCCTTCTAGCTCCCTGCAGCCACAGGCCACCTCTGCCAGCCCTCAGGCCAAGACCTACCTGCTCCCTGCAAGCCCTGTCCCACCTGGGCAGTGGGAAAGGCCTGAAGTCTGCCGCAGTTAGAGTTTCCACCATATTGTGTGGGCAGGATGTGGGAATGGGTAGTTTTCTGGGGTTGTTCCTTTTGAACTTCTCTGTTGAACCCTCTGAAAAGCCGTTGCTGCCACATTCACTTTAACAGACGCTGCAGAAGATGCCAGTTTGCAGCGATCGGTCTCGGTTGCAACTGGACTGAACATGATGAAGAAGCAGAAAGTCAAGACCATTTTCCCACACACTGCCGGCACCAACAATACCTTACTCAGCTTTGCGCAGGGCGACGTCATCACACTGCTCATCTCCGAGGAGAAGGACGGCTGGCTCTATGGGGAGCACGATGGCACCAAAGCGTGAGTCACCGCGAGCCATCTGCACGGGGTGCACATGGGCCTAGCCTCAGAGAGGTGCTGTTTGTGCAGTTCAGCTACAGACTGTCAGTGTACTTCAGCTGCAGCCAGGTTTACAGTGTAGTTAGCTGGACGGATTCCATACCAGGCTATCTTGGGTATATGTGTGCAGCTACAGATAAATTTGGTGTATGAACAGATTATTAGATCATATAACATCACCTCTGACAGACGGCTTAGATATCCTTCTGTTGTTATAAAATGTATGACATTTGCCAGTGGTGGTGCATGCCTACAATCAGGGCACTTGGGAGACGGAAACAGGAAGATCACAAATTTGAGGCCAGCCTGGGCTATGTAGTGAGACCTTGTCTCAAAAAAACAAAAATAGTGGCTTTTGATTTCTCAGGGGTAACCTGCATATGAGATCCACTTTAAGATTTAAGATGTAGTTTAAATGTTACCTCAGCATTTGCATTTCAACCATAGGTGTGTGCATAAACCTTGCTGTCCTAGATCGTCAGGTTGTATTTAGATACATAAAGTAACAGCAATATAAAAAATAAAAAGGGAGCCCCATGTGGTGGCGCACACCTATAATCCCAGCACTCAGGAAGCTGAGGAAGGAGAATCGCCACAAGTTCCAGCCAGCCTGGGCTACATAGTGAATCTAGGCCACCCTGAACTACATAGCAAGACCCTGTCTCAGAAAATAAATAAAAATAAAATGGGCAACCAAATACCATGAATGCTATATGCAAAAACATGCATTGTTGTGTGTGTGTGAAGTATGCATTTGTTTATAGAAGCTCCATTTCATTCAGTCAACTCATGAGCCTTCATGGCCAGCCTGGGCCAGCCTGCCCTCAGCTGTCCTGCAGATCCCCCTTACTGCAGGGACTGCGTCACGTCTGCCTCTGAAGCCACAAGCAGGCCTTTCCTTCTCACTTTTCCCCTCCAGGAGGGGTTGGTTCCCGTCGTCATACACAAAGTTGCTGGAAGAAAATGTGAAGGAACCGGTGACCGAGCCTACGCCAAGGTAGTGAATGTGCTCCAGAGCACGTCTTCCCTTGTGTCTCAAGTTATAGCGGAGATATGTAGCAACCCCAGTGTGAAACCTCAGCCCTCAGGGAGTAGACACCGTTGCTGCTCCACAGAGGTTTCTGTGGCCCACAGCCTTTCCCAGCCATCTGCTGTGAGGAGAGACCCAGACCACCTGCTCTTCGCAGCACTCCTGCCAGCCCCCGGCCAGCATGCCCGTGAGCCCTCAGTCCACAGCGCGTGGTCTCCGTCGTTTTCTTCCTCGGTGGCCCTGAACACTGCGGAACACTGCCATCCCTTTTCAGTCTGCCCCGCAGGCCCCTTCAGTTCTGCCCCCCGCTGAGACAGTGCTGCTCCTTAGGCAGGATCCGTCCTCGGTCCTTTCCCTTGTCTGTGTTTTCTCAGCCATCTTGTCCACTCCATGGCTGTGACTGCAGCTGGGGGCCTCGGCTGGCACCTTGGTGCTGGTAACCTCAAAGCTGTCTGTATTCTCATAGTAGCCGTCACTTCGGGACTGTCCAAAGTACTTTACATGGATCAGCTCATTTCATTCTCGCAGTCACCCCATGCAACAGGCCCCTACGTTACAACTGAGGAAACTGAGACATAAAACATTCAAGAAGTTGCTCAGAGACACACACACAAGAAATTTAGAACCCGGGAAGAGCCCTCTGGGCCTGGGAATGGGTATTCAGATGTGCATTAGCTGTATTAGAAGTGTATTTAGCTGTTTACCAGGCAGCTGTAGGGGGCTGTCCCATGGGCCCTCAGAAACTGAACTGGTTGGTAATACTTAAACCGCCCTAAACTGCCTAAACGCTTGTTCAGTGTTCCCTGTCTCAGATAAAGCCCCACCGCCCACAGCTTTGCCAGCAGACCCCAGAATACCGCACACCACATCTCTCGGGTCCTCCCCTTGTTAAGTGTCTTGCGACAACAGCCCCCATCTTCATCCCTAGCAGTATGGCTAAAATGCCTTTGTGCCAAAGGTAAAAACGTACCCTCTTAGGATTTTACAAAATCTGAGACTTGCCAGGCATGGTGGCACATGCCTGTAAGCCCAGGTGCTCAGGAGGTAGAGGCAAGAGGATCACTAATTGGAAACCAGCCTAGGCAACTTAGCAAGACGTCTCAGAAAGTGCTGGGAATGTAGTTCAGCATAAGCCCCACCCCGCAAATCTGAGCCTTAAAAGATTGTCTTAACCTTAAATGCTCAGTGCTTGCTAAGTTTTTTGTTGGTATCCTTAGACTAAATTACTTAACAGCCACCCCCTAACTAAACTCATTTTCTTCTCCTGTTTTGTCATGACTTTTAAAGAATTTCTTTTGAGTATGCACTTATAATCCAGTAAAAGCATTACAGTGCTTTATATAATATATATATCACAGTCTCACTTTTTGATTGGTGGCCCACTGTACTGTGGTCCTTGGCCAGGGCACCTGTGGGCATTGGGGGTCCGGGTGGCAGGACTGTATTTGACTTTGCTCTGTGCCTTGTTTCGAGCCCCGCCCCGATGAGAAGCATCAGCACCGTGGACCTGTCTGAGAAGAACAGTGTCGTCATCCCCCCGCCTGACTACCAGGAGTGTCTGTCCACGGGGGCTGCTGCCAGTAACCAAGCGAATGTTGCCAAAAACACTTCTACCTTCAAAGCCTCGGCATCTAAACCGGAAACCGTGTCTCCTGTGAGTGTATTGTGTCTTGCTGCCCTGACTCCCAAGGCACAGGCTCTGTTCCCACGTGGGGGTGGGGACTTTTTCTCCTCAGTCCCTCTGGATTCCCTTCATCCTCACACACCTTTCCCCTCCCTAACTTCAGGCCTTTGTTTTTACTTTATCTTGTCAGTGACTGTTTGTATGGGGCGGTTGGTTGTTGGCTACATTTTGTTAAGGCTTTCATCTCCCCTGCCTTTGGTCACGGCTGTGGTCTTTCAGTCATTTAATCCCCTTCTCTGCATTTTCTTCCATTTCCTGTTGTGTTCTGGAGAGGCCTGGGGTCAGCGTTTGCTCTGCACAGCCAATGCATGAGCACTGCGTATGGATTAACTCTAAGCCACCCCTAAGGAGGACAGGAGAGGCCCCAGGCCTGAGGTACCGCATCATTCCTGCAACAGTTGTGGGGGGTCTGCAGGCTCAGGCCAGTGTGGGGCTGGGGGTGCAGAGACGAGTAGATGAGGTCCTGGTTCCTTCAGAGTTTGTATTCTGGTGACGGGAAGCACACAATAAAAACAAGCCAAGATAACTTGGAGGTGAAAGCCGTGCCCAGAATGAAAACAAGGTGAGGCAACAGCAGATGAGCAGTGGGACAGGTTAGGTTTGCAGGGAGCAGGCACCCGGGATGGAGACCTGAGAGCGGGAGGAAGGAAGCTGGGGCCATGGGCGTGTGCTGGGACAGCAACACCTTCCGAAGAGGAAGAGGCAGAACACGACAGTGTCCATAACCATGCACGCCTCTGAGGAGGTGACGCTTCTGCCGGGATAGTGACAGAGCCAGCCAGGCAAGAGCCAAGAGCAGGTGCCCATGAGACAGAAGGAACAGAAGGTTTCCACACTGAAGAGGGCTCGTGCTCAGGTGGTAATGACAGGTTGGCACAGAGCCAAGGGGCTTTTTGCCCTTCTGATTGCTCTCAGTGTAGATTGTACTACAGAGCAGGAGGAAGTGATGGAGACCAGGAGGGTGACTGAGCGGGCAGGGTGGGCCCAGAGCATGGTGCCCATGCAGCCAGCACACCCTGGGCCCTTTCCATCTGACTGTGTGTCCTTGGTGGTGAAGGAGGGTCATCACCTGCTGGAGTGGGCCAAGTGTGGTGACCCAGTGTGAAAATGGAAGTGTAAAATAGGTGCATGGAGAATAAGAGCATATCACAGCAGGTGCAGAGATGCAGACCATTCTAAGGCCTTGTTAAAATTCCTGGCCATGGGGCTGGGGAGGTAGCTCAGCGGCACAGCACCTGCCTGGCAAGTGCAAGGTCCTAAATTTGATTTCCAGTACCAAAAAAAATTTCCTGGTCGTGACTTAAAATGAAGCAAGATGCATGCTTTTGAGCAGCACCCCGTTGCTGAGGTCCACACTAGAAGTACTGTCACGTGTTATTTAATGACAAGACGAGTCCTGAGATGTGTTGGCTGCTGGGCATGGTGGCACATGCCTGTAATCCCAGCAGTTGGTAGGCTGAGGCAGGAGGATGATTGCAAGTTTGTGGCTAGCCTGAGCTACATAGTGACTTCAAGGCAAGCCTGAACTACATAGTGAAACCCTGTCTCAAAAAAAATAAAAGATGTATTGTTGTGATCTTGTGGTTGTGTGAACATCAGTGTGCCACACACTCCGAAGCTGTGATCTGTGTAGAACACACCGTTGTACATGCAACCCGCTGTTGGTGCATCATGTGAGAGACACGTGGCTGTAAGCAGGTGGCGCTGACTGGGGTGCGGTGCTGGAGGAGGGCGTCGTGGATGTTTGCAAGGGCAGGGCTGTGATGTCCCAGACCGCAGAATCCACCCAGGTAAGAAAGCCAAGGGATTTGCGTGGAATGGGGGAGCGTCCCCTCCAGTTGCGACCTCACCAAAGTAGAGAGGATTGGAGGAGGCCGGGAGGTGAGAAGCGGAGATGGGAAACAGGGACTGGACCCTTGAGGATGCGCCCCTGAGAGTGTGCCCAGGACCAGGGGGAACGTGGCCTGCCCGGCCTGTGCTCCCTCCCTCACCTTCCTTGCTGGCTCTGCTGGGTGCTGTGGTAGCCCAGGTACAGCGGGTACCGTTAATCCACATTCTTCTACTGCTCATCTTTCCATTATTTTCGACTACTGTGAGGACGTTTCTTTAGCTGTGTAGCACACATACGAGCAGCCTCTCCACTTCGCAGTGGGGATGTGGCTCCACAGCTCCACTGCCCACAGAAACCAGTGACTGGTGGCCCTTGTTCAGGGGTACGCAGTGTGCACCGGGAGCCTCTCAATTACATGAAATAGGCTTGTACTTTAGTGGGAGCCTTAAAGAGCTTGGAACATCCATATTCTGAATTGCTAATGTGCTTCAGTGGTGGTTACCTCCTCCCAGGCTACCACTGCATGTTCTGGTCCAGGAAATGGGAGCTTCTGAAGTCTTACTCAGAACACCTTGGGCTTCCCTTCCTGGGTGAGCACACTGTGCCATATACCGGTTGTGCTTGTATCATTTCAGGTTTCTCTAGGTACAGTGGACCTTTGACTTACAAACTTAATTCATTCAGGACTGGTTGTAAGTCAAGTTGGTTGTAAGTCAAGACTGTTTTCCAATAAGAAATAATGGGAATACCCTTAATGTGTTCCAAACTTCCCAAAGCACCCCTTAACCTTTTCATAATAAAAAGGGGTTATATAATGTGTATAATTTGCCAGAAACACCAATAATTTTCCTAGTGTAGTCATCAAAAAATTATAAAATGTGGGGCTGGGAATTTAGCTCAGCGGCACAGCGCCTACCTGGCAAGCGTGAGGTCGTGAGTTCGATTCCTGGTACCGGAAAAAAAAAAAAAAAATTATAAAACGTGCCTAGCTTACCAGAAACAATTTCTTACAGAACTGACAGTATGAAAGTTGATGCCTTTGGCTTGCGGGAAGGAGGATGAAAGGGAAGGTGGCTATTGTTTGGAAGGAGGGTCCCCTTCCATAAGAGCATCAGGAGCCTGGCTCTCTGGTGTCCTTTCTCTCCTTAGGACAGTCTGTAGCCCACCAGGACCTGCTTCTGGCTCAGTGGATCTTAACCTTTTCAGAACTAAAAACTGGTCTAAGGTTGTCTGTTTCTGCCTTTTCTTTAACACTGTTCTGTAGTATGACATGACATTGTCATTAAGCAAGTGAATGTAACGTTTGGCTTTTTCTCTCGGGGGGTAGGTCTTCTCTGCAAATGTTCGTAGCTCTGTCCATTTCTCAGGATTCCCTTTATTTCCGAAGAACTTTGGGGCACTGTCTATTGCTACTCCCTCTCTTCTTCAGAAAATCCTCACTGCCATTCTTTGTTGCTCAGCCCAAAGTCACTGAAGCATCTTTGTAGACAGCTCCTCTGACTGTCCATCGCCCAGGTCCTCAGTGTCACCGCTGTCCACCTGCAAGCCTGTGGACTCTGCTGTAGTGACAATGTCACCAACCACAGAGTCAAAGGAAGGCTCGGGCTGCTCTACAGCCTTCAAACACTCTCCTATATAATTTTAGGTCACACTTTCTTCCAGGCAGATCTCAGTGTCCTCAGAGACATTGGCCCAGGATTTCTCAATTAGCCCCACATAGGAAAGGATGTTCAATGCTCCTTCTAGAACTCTTTAAGGATTAAATCTTTATCCAACCATCTGGAATCACATTAGGAACAGTACCTTGGTATATAGCTTCTTAAAGTTAGCTGTCACCTGCTGGTCCATAGGCTGCAGTAGAAGAATTATATTAGGTGGGAGGAACTCAACTGAGAGCCATGGGAATTCTTCAGCCAATTCTTCTTCCAAATCACACAGGTGAGCAGGAGCATTGTCCATGATGAGGAGAGCCTTGATTGTTAAACCTTTATCCTCTAGACATTTCATAACAGTAGGACAGAAAACCTCCTGATACACTCAAGAAAAAGTACTCTTGTTACCCAGGCTTTTGCATTAGATATTCACGTGACACCTAGCCTATTCTTCATGACTTTGTTTTCTGAACACTCTACAGGTCTCAGAGTGATAAACCAAGACATGCATTATCTTGATGTCACCACTTACATTGGCACATAGCACTGAAGTTAACCTATCCTTCATAGGCTTGTAACCTGGCATTTTCTTCTTTTCTTGGGTAATATGCAGTATGTCCTCCTGGGCATTTTCTTCCAGAAAAGACCAGTTCCATCACAGTTGAAATCTTGATGAGAACAAAAGCCATTTCTCTGTGTTATCATTTCAAAGTGGTATATGTAGTTTTCAGCAGCCCTTGTATCAGCACTGGCTGCTTCACCATGCCTAGTTATACTATGAACTCCAGTTCTTGTTTTAAAATTGTGAAACCACCCCTTTACTGGCACAAAATGTTTTACCATTATCACTTGTTGATGGATTCATCTGTACAAGATCTGCATTTATAGCCCTAGCTTTTTCACAAATTATAGACTCAGGCTAACCTGCCATCTGCTTTTCATTTATCCATACTAATAATAGGCTTTCTACCCCATCTAACTGTTGATCATGACTAATTTGAGTAACACCTTTAGCAACACTAGCTTCCTTATTCAAATCTTGTCTCTGTAAGATTGTTGAAATGGTGAATTTTGACATGCGGTACATGTTAACAAGATTGGTCACACAAATGCCACTCATATTTCTCTACAAGTTCTTTCTTTCTGATTGTGACTGCTTGCTTTCCCTTTCCTTCCTTCCTTAGTTTCTTTTCTAGCTTTTTGGGGGCCATTTTGGTAGTGGTAATCATAGCAATTATATAAGACACTGACCAAAATCACATCCACAAACATGCACATCTGAGCACGGACTGATTCTTAGATATACTTACATATGTATTTCTGGCACTGCGAGTCTTTGTTTACAACTGCCTGAGCAGCTGGCATTCAGGTCATAACTCAAGCCTTTGGTTGTAAGTTAAACCTAAAATTCTGATTGTAACCCAAGTTGTTGTTATGTGATCCAGGTTGTAACTCAAGGGGGCTACTGTATCTGACTCCAACAGTTA